TCGGTATTTACGGATGGCCCCTTATTTGTGTGTTTGTTTTTGTTTTTCTTTGTTCCATTCAGCTTGTCATCGGCATCATCCTCCAAGCGTTCATCACTCACTTCTATATCATCAAGCTGGTTGCACCACAATGGTCTGAATCAGACCTTCTCTGGTGGAGTTCCAACTTCGTCTTTTTCGGCCTTTACATTATTGCAACCATGCCAGCACCGCAGAGCCGGCAGGAGAACGATGTTGTTTCGTCCTGCACACGGTACTGAACGATGTCATGATATTATTCCCGTAGCTATGCAAGAGACGTTACCTCAGTAACGTCTGGTGCTAGCCAGGGTCCAAATAGCTTCAATTCCGTGTGTGTTTGTGCCGTCGACATGCCTGGCGCTATCCCGTACCTGTCACGTACCGTACCATCAAAGACAGCTGGCCACAAAAAAAGCATAGCTTATGGGCCCTGAGCTTCCAAGCTCTCTGGTTTGTGATGCACTCTCCCCCTGGAACAGCTGGTCCAAAGTATAGAGGGGTGCGCAGTCAAACATTCCTTGAAGCAGGTCGAGCAGTAGATTTGTTATTGGAATTGCAGTGTGCAGCTGTTTAGCCTGATGATGGGCCTGGCCCGAAAATTTCGTGTTATGTAAATTTCAATTGGAGTCGCAGTGATGAGACCGATTTCTTGCAGTTTGGAATTGAGAAACAAAGTTTCCTAAACGTGTGCAGGTGTACAACTATAGAGATTATGCGAAAAATGTCATGGTGGCGAGTCAGCAGAAGCACACAGGTGGCACTGCTGTGCATACGACACAAGACAGTGGTTCGAACCGCTTACGGGTGCAATGTGTACAGTGCGAGCCGCTAGTGGACTCATAAGTGGATCGCTAATGCATTGCTAGCTATGCAGCGACTTTGGCGAATCGTCTCAACTGTCAAGTACTTCAATGAAATAAAGAAGTAATTTTGTTTAGAAAAAGTAAATTTTCATGTCAGCTCCCTTTGCTCTTTCACGACGTCCGCTATTAAACATCCAATAATTTCCAAACTGTGAACTTATGGTGTAATCGCATATCCTTTATATGGCTACAGACACAGGCAGGTAAACATGGACCCAGCCATCGTCCTAAATGCAATTCCGGGGGGGGGGGGGGGAATTATTAAATTTTCTGAACACATCGTTTCAACTGTATTTTGCGCCAGTAACGTTATTTGTGTACCATCATGTGTACTACCAAAAGAGCTACAAGTTACGCTATCATATCCACTAACAAACTTAGGGTTCCCTGTAACAAGACGGCAACGTCTGTAGGGCCTTCCCTATCAAAATAATAAATTCTACTACTACTACTGCTACTACTACTACAACACCACCAGTTACTTTACGATCAGCTCATGCGGTAACATATGATAGCATAACGTGTAGCTCTTTTGGTCCTCTTTGCTTCTTATATTCCCTTGCTCTCCACCGGAGTCTAACTGTGTTCTGTTTGCAAACCTATTCCTTGCAGGTCATTTCTAGAGCTACTGCCGACTGCTCGCCAGATGCGGGAATTAGCAACACAGACCACATATGGAAACCATCCAGACTATATCCTGCACATCAGCGATGGTGGACATATGGAGAATCTTGGCCTGCTCCCGTTGCTACGGCGACAAACGGACTAGTAAGATATGATCTGAAAAATTGTTTTTGTTTGTTTTTGATTTCTTGTGTTTTTACAATGCACAACTTTACCGAGGGCGAACAGATCCCCCCCCCATAACCACCATATTTTCAGGTGCAATTTGAAATGCACAGGGAATATTTGAGGGGACGTAGCCCCAAGACTGCACAGCCGTGGGGCTGTAATGACAGGTTTTCACATCACGTAGCACTTGTGTGCTTTGTCATGGCAAGTGTTTACACACTGCAATGCATTTTCACAGCTTCCTTTTGGCGGTCGGAATGCCCGTGTTTCCGAAACGCCGTCGTTACGCATCTTTCCCATTGGGGAATCTCTTGAGTAGGAAAGCTGTATCCGCGAGACACGCTCAGCAGCCAGGCCCGGCGGAACCGGTTGGGTAGGTTTGGCCTGGGGGAGGGGGGGGGGGACATTCTGCCCATTGACGTGAGTTTACTGGAGGTTTGATCATGTGTAGCCACCATCATACACAAGGCATGACAGGCCGGGGTATTGCCGGACCAATCAAACACTCTTTCCGCCGGGACTGGCAGCTTCGTATAGCGCAACGCAGCAAGTGCAGCAGAACGCTTTCTGACTTTTCCGGTACCAATGTTCTCCCCCCCCCCCCCCCCCCCCCCCGCGTCATTAACCCTTTCCGTGCTAATGACGTCTATAGACGTCATGCGCACTGTACGCCAAACGACTAATGACGTCTATAGACGTCATGAGATTTGCGTAGTATATCGCTGTGCATAGATCAGTGTACAAACTTTCGTAACTCTGTCAAAAATCAGTCTATCGCGACAATCGATACACCGTTGGAAAGGTATTGAGCTCAGCTTTCCAGCAATATAAAGTTCTTCACGATAGGAGAAAGATTGACGGAGCGGCGACGGTGTGAACACAAAATTCACGGCACTGAGCGATCTTGAGTTTTTTTTGTTCGGGCGTTCGCAGTTTTCTGTTGCGTGCCAGGGGATTTCCCTTTAGTGCAGCGCATGCTTAATGGACACCAGCAAAAGCACGTGGATCTCAGCTTTGCAGCGCAGTTTGAATAGTGAAAATCGGCTGACCTGGAACAAGAAACCGAAAAAGAATGTGAGATCGAGTTGCTGTGCCTTTCCGAGGCATCGTGAAGTAGTTTCAACAGGACATAGAAGTTGCACCGCCATGCATATTGAGTTGAGAGCTACCAGGATGGATTCGCTTGGACCTGATCTTTCCAACAAGCCCAGGATGATGAAAATCCATCCAGGCAAACTGAACTGAGAGAAAAATTCGTTCGGACATGTGAGCGAAAACGACACCAGGAGAGTCAGTGCGCTGGAAAGTCAGTTTGCTGGAGTAAAAGGGGCCAGCACGGAAAGGGTTAAAATTGTCGCTTCGCACATCACAATGTTTGTGACTTGCTTGTCTTAGTCGGTCTGTCGGAATCGCTGTTTTCTGTGTTCGAACATTGCTACGACCCTTCCTACACAATGTCTATTTGCTACGGAAGCCATGGTGGTCTCAGACATCTCGTCCGCACCAAATAAATTCATTGCACTCCGCACTATTCCGCCCCAGAGCGCGCATCTTTTCTCTGGAGTTTGTGCCGGCCAACATTGTTCGCGTGGACATTTGTCAAGACTGCAAGCTCCGGTATAAGAATCCTGATATTTCTCCTGAATTTGAAATGCTGAAGTTGACGATTGCAAGAACAAAGTGTTCTCAAATTCCTAAAAAAAAAACCTATATGTGGCAGATGTTGCTGCGAAGGTAGCAGGTCTGAAAACATTAACAGAAACAGCGAAGCGTTGGTGAAGGAAAGAAGTTGCGGAACTGCTTACCCCATCCTGCTGGAAGGTCGTTACGGTGCATTCAAAAAACACTAGTTTGCGATCACCGCCTGCCACCTGAAGGCATGGATCGCTCGAAAACAAAGTTTCATGAGCTGAATTTGAACTCGCTTCTTGTTCAGCGTCTTGTTATGTGCACTTGCAGTGCATGACGCACTGAGCTTGTTCTGCTGTGCAATACGATATCGACGTGACATTCATCAGACATCAGTGAATTGTATGCACTGTGAACCTACATGTACCTAGTGGCACTTAAAGCTAGCACTAAGGGGCCACGCTCTCCTGAACTCACTATTTGTGCGTATTGCTGCTGCTGCTGCTATGGTTTTCACGTTGCCTTAGCATCATCTTGGCGGACGGTTCGCGTCATGACATCATCGACCGTGCGAACTTGCTGTGGAAAGCAATGAACTATGCGCGCATGTGGCTGGGCTGCCAGTTCACCACCTTGAACGACACGGACGTCGATGAGCACATGCTGCGTAAGATGGGATACCAGAGCAACGGATCGGCACCGCAGGCGTACGGCCTCAAGGTAGGACACGGTACTGTCGCGGACCGAAGAACTGCGGGACGGGGTCAGTCTCCTGGCCTAGGCCGTTCTTATCTTGTTTTACGGCAGTCTATGTGCAGTGGAGTCACCGCGTATGCATACATAGCGGTATCCTGTGCGTGGTGAAATACTAGCCTGTTTGTTCTTCGTCGCTCTGTTCTTCGTCTCTCCGTTCTTCATCGCCCAACAGTACTATAGGTGATTTTGTTGCTCTTGCCATCATCTTCGATATCGTTGTCGCAAGAGGTGGGGTTGTGTGTGTGTGGGGGGGGGGGGGGGGGGGAGCCTGGAATGAATTGTGATGGGTCCCAACACTTTCCCAAGGATATTTTCACTTACCAAGAGTTCTTGATGCAGCAACCAATGGGCACAAAGTACTGAACAACAACGACCAACTATGCAGCAATAGCATAGCAACGGATATGACTGGGACGGTATCCTGAACAGTATAGTGCTGCTAAATGAAATTTGACATCGTGGGTGAAGTATGCGCCGGCCATTGAGAAGTCCTAAACCTGCAAACACTGGACTGTGAAATGCAACAGGAAGAAACCTGTCTCAACTAATCGGACTTCAGTGAGCAGAACTGTGTCATATATAGTGGAGGGTTGTTTTTAAACAGAAATGTTAAATAATAATGGACAAACTCCTTAGAGACAAGAAGGTGATAACAACCAGAAAACTGATGAAAAAATCCATCTCCAAGGTAGATTCCTGCTGGGGGAACTTCAGCAAGTCCAACATTCCCAGAGTGTGCAACTGTCGCCGGAAATTTAGGGAGCTATGTGTGATTTCTACGTGCTTATCATTCCTGTTTTTTCCATCTACCACAGGTGAAGTACATGGGCCAGAATGAGCGCGGTGAAGAAGAAGTTGTCAAGGAGGGTCGCATTCTAATGGTACAGCCTCGTCATCCACGCTACAGAGTGGAAGGTGCCTGGTCTGGCCCCACTGATGAGGATTGGACCGTGGAAAAAGCTGACAATCTTGTTGGTGCATTCACCCGGTAATCTTGTGAAACTTTAGTATCTGGTTTGTATGTGTGTGTGGGTGTGTGTGTGTGTGCGCGTGTGTGCACGTGTGTGTGCGTGAGGTCGGGTGGACGGGCAGATGTGTGTATGTGGTTTCGTGGGTATGTGTGTGTGTACTAGTATGCGTGTGCTCTATTCCGTGGGTATGTGTGCGGGCGTGTGCATGTGTGTTTGCACATGTATGTACATATTTGTGTACACGTGTGTTTTGTCTGTCTGTGTGTATGTGTGTGTTTTTTGTTTTTGTTTTTTTACTAAGGCCACAGCTTCCAATCATGACATGCAAAGCAGCGGTGCAGCATCTCAGGCATGAATCGTGGACGTGGTGACGGGGTCTGATGTGCTCCATCGGCCTAGGGTGTCGGCTTCACTGCACAGTGAAGGCGTCTCAAGAAAACGGGGAGCTAATAATTATCCGGAGATGGGGGGGGGGGGGAAGAAGAAGAGAAGAAGGAGATTGAGAGAGAGAGACAGAGAGATATGCGTCTGCATGTGTGTGTGTGTGGTGTGTGTGTGTGTGTGTGTGTGTGTGTATGTGTGTGTGTGTGTGTGTGTGTGTGTGTGTGTGTGTGTGTGTGTGTGTGTGTGTGTGTGTGTGTACACACGTTTGTTGTGTGTGGCCATATGGTGCAGTGGTATGTGCAGCGATTTCCAATGGATAGTTTGTGGGTTCGATTCCCGACGATTATGGTCACACATGTCTTTTCTCTTTCTCAGACTCCTCCTGAATTTTCTTTCATTCTCCTGGGTGGTTACCAACAGCCAGTGCATGCCGGAGTATGTGATGTGTGTGCGTGAAAAAAAAGAAAAAGACCGAAAATTAGGGATTCACTGGCCAGAAAAAGCCACTTCATAGCTGTGTGTTGTGGACCAGGCTGAATTGTGGCGATCAATTCTTCAGCCCTGCAAGCTGTTGGATGGCGCAATCCCAGCACCAGCTGCTATGGCTTCTGCTGTAGCATCGCTATCACCGCCTCCGGTGATGGGCGTCAAATGGTGTGTGTTTGTGTGTGCATGTGTGCACCCATGTTTGTCAGTGTATATGTGTGCGTGTATATGTGTAGGACTGAATCGGGTAGCATGTTCTTCGAGTATCGGGTTCGGGTAGTTTTCCATCGGTGGCACAGGTACCCGATCGGGTAATGGTTCCATGGTAACTCCACAATGCACCCCTAGGCCCTTCCCTTACACACTGGGTAGACATGGACTCTACATGTCAAGTGGGACTTTGTGTTTTCGAGTACACTTGTGTACCCGTCTACCCGAGGACCCCCTCCCGGGTAGCACGGGTAACCAACTACCCATGCACATCACCATCTGTGTGTGCCTTTGTACCCATGTATGTATTTGTGTATGTGTGTCCAACCTGGCGGAAGACTGCTTTCTGTCCTAAGTAATTTAGAAGTCAGAGTTACAGGTTTCGATCCAGTGTATTATTACTATGAGCTTCCATGGCTGTGACTGTTGGTATTTCTGTTGGCTCCGTGTTCTGAGTAAATGTACTTCGTTGCAAAGCTGGTTGCTTTGATATTTTGGGATTTCTGATCGTTCCGGGTTCCGAGTTCATGTACTTGGCTGCGAGGGTGAATGTTTCTGTGGATGTCTGAAGGCTGGTTTGCTATGGCCCCCTTAGGGACCAAGGCGACCGGTGGTCTTGAAGTACAGTGCTGGCCAGAAAAATCCAACCCCATGAGTAAAGTAGCGATGCGTTCGAGCGCACAGAAATTTTGCTTGTAAGGCTGCATGGCGCCGGCACTATTTTATTCATCAGGTTGGATTTCTTTGGCAAGCACTGTACATTTACGCTCTTGCGGCAATGCAGACAAAAGTGTAGATAATGACTTACCGGTACAGCCGTTTATTGGAGCAATAGTCCAATTTCGTTGTGTGCATTTTTCTGAATTTTGCATTACAAATTTTGTTCAGGAGCATGAGTGGCAAGTACAAAGACTTCTTCACCCGCCTGTCTGGGTCCTATCCGGGGTACGGAGGACCATGGCTTGGACCTTTCTCCACGCCCAGCATGATCGAGGCCCTCATGGCGGACGGGAGGCGAGTCACACAGTCGCCGGCAATGAAGGAGTTCCTCGGTGACCTCTGCACTGACCGACTGAGAGAAGAAGAGTATGTTTCCTGCCTCTGTAAGTCACACATCTGCCTGGGCTTGCAAAGTTGTTTCAGGTGCTATGACGTGAATATAATTTCTTCGGTAGCTTGCAGGCGCGTAGCTCGTATGTAGTCAGCGTAGACCTGTCACCACACTAGCAAATGGCTGGCGTAGGCACTACATAGTTAAATTGGGAAAAATTGTACGGCTATGAGTTTGCCGCTGGTACATGGTGACCACACCACAGATGTGCGAGCTATGCCCCTGTCTCAAAATGCCTAATACAGGGGAAGTGCGTCGATGTTTCAAGTAGGGCAGATGAAAGACAATTTGATATCGGTTCGATTGGCATATCTCTAGCTTGCATACGATAAGCCAAACTTGCCAAATTGTCAATTTTATGATCACGTAGCCATAGCGACCAGCGCAGTGATGATGCCCATTTTTGCTTAGCTCCGTGAGGGAGAAGGTCGATCACTGCAGAATTGTGGCATTTTCAATTGTCTTGTGTTCAAAATGTGAAAGAAGTTCTGTGTTGAATTCAATTATTGCCGTTAACTGTTTATTAGTAGTCCTCTCCGTTGTGTTATGGGACATGACACCGACAGAAGTAACCTGGAGTGCGGAGACATCAGCAGACAAACAAAACATAGTGACAAGCCCAGTGCTGATATCTTGGTTGGGACAAATCAGGCGTTCAGCATTTGCCCCAGCCAGCACAACCTTCGCGGTATTCGCGATGGATGTGAAATCGTGAAAGTAGGCCGGCGCAAAACGTAGAACTGTAGTAAAGAAACTGAGGAAATTGTGTCCAATCGTATGCATATCCAGGTGCAAGTTTGTCTGTACCACAAATCGCACACTAAAACCGACGGGAACATGTTTTTGGGTTTACAGGAGACAGTCTCCCTTTCCCGGTCTCTTTCTCACTCTTGCTCTTCCTTTTGTATCCGTTTTCTCCCCATGTGCTTTCACCCTGTGCTTTTAGCACAAGATGTGGAGACACCTACGGAAGCCGAGAGTCGACCACTGGACCGCAGTACTCTGCAGTACTCTATTCCGCGCAGCATCGTGAAGCACACTCACTCCCAGTGCTCTCTACTGAGAAGCCCGAAGCCCATGCCTGGTGTGAACAATGCGCCCAGCGCCTTGCACTCCCTGCCGGAGGAATGCGTTGATGATGAGAACGGTGTGTAAGCAGTGGCTTCCTATGGCTTAGTGTTTCAGCGTAATTTTACGTGTTTTGAAGAAAAATTAATCCTCGTGACAGCTTGACAACATACGGGTCACACCTCACAACACCGCTAGTGGTGCGTCTCGTGCACCAGTCGAGACCACATGTTGGCCGGGTGCACCGAGTCTCAGCCCCCTCTTGCTCCGCGGTTCTAGCAATGTTGCAGCCTACGGGCACTTGTAAGAAATAGAAATAAACGATGCTGACTATAAAGATAGCACTGCCCTCAGTATCGTGCACAACATTTAAATATTCCTGCATCTGCACCACCTCCGTACAAAATGTCCTCACTGTGACATGCATATAGTTAGGCATGTCATAGCTCATGTTAATATCACAGATTGGATCACATACCATTTCTCTCATACCGTCGACACACAGGCTAGACACATGAGAATATTACACACTTTTAGAATGAGTTGAGCAGCCTGAATCACCAGCAGTGCAGCTGTATTCAATAAAGAAAGAGGGCAATTGTGTAATACATATTGACCAATAATGTGTAAAATTATGAGTGATTTTACGAATCTCGCACATCAGATGGGCTGTAGCTAATACTTGGTAATGCACATTGTGTGTTGGCTTTCATTACGGTCATGAATTCGATAATTTTGTAATTTTTTATTTATGGCTGCAATGCAACTTTATTATTGTTGATTTTTCCACGATTCCCCAGATGAGCAGGCCTTGAAACCGTTCAGGAATGAACAGGTTTGTGATTTTCCACATTGCTGTTGAGCCGCTTTCTATACTGATTGCTATCATATGTTCACATTGCCTCGCAAATTATCAAATTTAATTACTACCTTGGCGTTCAGTTTCAAGTGCATAACAACGACCCGTTGTCCAGGTCACTGGAGTGTCCAACCCTCAGTACTGTAGCGGACATGGAAATCCAGTCGATTGACCGGGGCCGGTGCCTCAGCGTGTAAAGAACGCTGCGTGCAGTGCACATGTTGATCCGATGCGACCAGCGCGCTGCAGTGCATACAGTCATGTGTGTACCGCTTATCCACGGCCAGCGCCCTGGGGCCGCTAGACATGCGACTGGATTTCCAAGTTCACGACAGTTTTAGATAATACTTAATATGCACAACCAAGGCCAAAACACCTAGGATAAAGCAGAAAGACACAACGTATTCCATAGATGTATTTCTAGATATGGATCGACCTTCTCTCTCACGGAGCTAAGCAGAATGTGCGTCATCACTGCTCTGGTCGCTATGGCAATGTAAGCATACACTTGGCGATTTGACAAGTTTGGCATAATTATCGTATGCAACCGAGAGATATGTCATTCGAACCGATATCCAATTGTCTTCAATCTGACCCTACTTGAAAAATCGATGCCCTTGACCTCTAGTTTCGGTAATTTCGGTAGAGAAACCAGGTGCCTAAAAAATTTAGATTGCACCTACCTACTTGTAAAAGGCACTGGAGTATGCACTGTATGTGAAGGAAATGCTGCTCACCTACTACATTACACCTGAAAACCTGGCAGGTCCCTGGTAGTGGTGCCGAATTTCTAGTACACCTAGCATGATAATATTATGTTATACAGTATCCAACATCACACAATTAATACATGCCAGCCTATATTTCTTGCAGACCTACATACTACAGTTATGAGTATGTCTTGTAATACATGTAGGTAACTAAAGTCTACATAAAGTCATTGTACAATCATCAGTCATGTAACTATTACTTGTACAGTACATCCACGACCAAAAGAAATAGTTTGGAGTATCTTGCTGTTCTTCATAGTAAAATTATGTTGGCTGCTCACTGACGACAGGTACTTCCGCGTCAGGCGGAATGTCAGTCCACTCCGAACTGGACTTGCAACGACTTATCATTCTCACTGTTTCCTGTTGGAACAGGAATTGCGCCATCGCAAGAACGCTTTGCAAAAATCCATCCAGGCTCTGCTGGCCAGACTCCAGAGCTTGACTTCTTTGACTTAAAGCCAGGCTTTGGCCATGAATAGTACTTAGGCCGATTCCACACTACGCCGAAAGTGGCTTTGCCTTGAAGGCATAAAGTGGCTTATAAAGTGAAGCTGCATTCACACCTACAAGTGTCGATCACGGGACTTTGCTTTGAAGGTTAGACTGTGAGGCTTTCCTGTGCTTGATGTAGCAACGGCGGTAGTGGAGAGGCTCTTTGTTGGTCCAAATCCTCGAATATCACCCATTTCCGCGCGCCCAATCTTGAAATTAATTATTTGACCACGCTAGCGCGCGCTGTGTAGGCGGATTCCAGATCATAGGTCGAATATTTGTCAACCTCGCCAACAGGCATTCCGGTGGCAGTTTTCGTTGAGTATGTCTCGTACAGTCCTTTCGCCTTCGTTTTCATGTTGTCAATTTTGGAATGGACGATCGACGCAGTATAGATTGCCTCCTCCCGGAGCTGTTCAGCAAACAAATTCAGCTTGATGGCGATCTCCTCCGGCGTAGCTCCTGCGAACTGTACCGCCCGGAGGTCGCCTCAAATGTCCGTTCCAAAGCTCGATCAGCTTGCCCTCAAGCTCCTGGCTAAACATGACCCTAGGCATTGTTGACAGCCCACAACTCACCTCAACTGAAAGATACGATAGGGAACACATTCGGAAAAAAATCGAAAGGCTGAAGAAAGTCAGAAAAGTGTCCTGAAAAGGTAAAAAGTTGCCTTGAAAGAGGGTGCTGGTGTTGCTTTATATATTTATTACAACATCTCAAGACTCGGTGGAAACACCGGCCAATGTTAAAGAGAGTGGGTGATTGCCAACCACGGCGATAAATAAAAGTAAGGGGAGGGAAAGTAGACAACAAGCACTTTTCACTTTCGCGCGTTCCTCAAAGTGATCGCCATGGCAACTTGCCTGAAAAGTGCCTGAAAAATGGCTTTTTAGGCAGGATTTGGTGTAGTGTGGAATCGGCCTTAGACAGTGCATGCTACAAAAATTGGTATTTTGTGTAGTACAAAAGTCATGCATGGGCTTGAAAGTGATGACGTCAAAAACGGCCAGGGAGTAGTAAGTATTACATCAGATTTCTATTTTGGATCCACTAAGGTGTGACTTTGCTAGTATTGCCTCAGTATGTGGGTGCATAGCAACCCACTCATGTCGTATGCAGGGTAAGGGTTTCCAGATTATTCGCAAGAAATTGCGTATTATTGAGATACAAGATATTGTTCTCGAGCATCAAGATTCAAATCCAAAAAATGGTGCTCTTCGAAAAATTTCTAAAAAATATTCAAAAAATCACTCAAAACCCGAAAATTATCTACCGGTTGCCGTGGCAACAATGACGTTACATATGCATGACAGCGCTGATCGATCTCAGATCAGAGGCCACGTGCACTGAAGTCGAAATTTTTTAAGGCCCATCGTGGCACGTGATTGGTGCCTTTGGTCCCCCAGATTTCCAAAACACCTCAAAAAGAGGTCTAAAAAAGGTAGAATTTGGCAACAATTTCCGGAAAATTGTCGAATTTGCGAAAAATCACGGAAAAACAGCAAAATTCGAAAAAATCCAACGATCCAAAAAATACCCCATTATTCAAAAAGATAATCTGGAAACCCCTAATGCAGGGGTGACTTTTACTTCGCCACCAGTTGTAACCCCGCCCCCACTAGCTAAATCAGTCAGTTTCACTGGCTACATCACCTTGCTGTGAGTAAGACGGCTTGAAATGTGCTTGGATCTAGGCATCGGCGGCTAATGCTCGTTTTTTCACAGTATTGCTTTTGGCAGTGCTCGATATTTCACGGCATAATGCCTGTTATAATGCTCCATTCACACTATAATGCTAGAGTGATATGTACATTTTCGAGCTATCGTGGGCAAATATGCACATGGAAAAGAAATGTATCCACAATTGGCTCATACTGAGATAAGGAAGTGTAGTTGTATATGCATGACCACACTAGACAGATACATCATACCTGCTGCAAGAGTGTCGGTACACTGTCTGTACAAGCCTCTTGTCATGTGAAAAGACGTGTAAAAAGTCTTGTATTGTACCAAAATAGAACTGATAATGCTTTCTCCAGCCAAAAACATGCCACCTAATGCCGAGCACTGCTACTTCTTCAAAACACCCATATAATGCTAGTTATAATGCTAGCATAGCAACAATTTCAAAAATTCAAAAGCTGGATCCACTTGGATCCAGCTTTTGTATGGATCCAAGTAGGCATCGTAGCCGCCGATGCCTACTTGGGTCCATACAAAAGCTGGATCCAAGTGGATCCAGCTTTTGAATTTTTGAAATTGTTGCTATGCTGTGACGTAGCACTTTCAAGCCCTTATTTAGAAAAGCGATCCTGTCAGCTTTTCTATTATTGTGTTCACATGGCGCTACCTAACGACACCGCTATTCAGACACGTTGTCTACGTAGCTACGTAAGTTTCTACGTAAGATGCTCGGTACCTGGTCCTGGACCAGGGAGCTACTCCATGTCCATGGCTCCTACCATCGCGCGGCCGGCTGGCCGCATGCGTGTGCATTGCAGACTTTTTGTTGTTGCCTTTTCGGATGTGCATGCACGACGAACTTCCTTCTTTGGAACTGCTTCTTGCATGAGCTGTTTCGGATATTTCGTCTCCTGGCCTGGCTTATTTCGTTTCGGTGCTGCTGAAACCTCCTTTCGCGAAATATTACTCAATGACAGGTGAGTTGACCAGTTAACTTTGATTCATTTGCTTGTGTTGACTCTTTCATTTACGAAAAGTGTGCTGATTTTGGGCGGAATGAAATAAATAATGGAAAAGCTGACAGGATCTCCTTTCTAAATTTAGCTTTTCCGCTGCCGAGGCCTCCTTTTACGGAATACTCAATGACAGGTGATCTCTGAGTTGGCCAGTTTCCTTCGATTCATTTGCTTATGCTCACCCTTTCATTTACGGAAACGTGTGCTGATTTTATTCGGATTTAGATCCATTTTTATCTCTTTGCCCTTGCCTACACTACAGTGTGCGAAGAACGCGAGTTCACCTTCTTGACGGTAAGGCTTATGTTAGATGTGTTGTCGAAATACTCATATTCATTGCACATTAGAACGTTACAAGTAAGGCACTGGTCAGTGGCATACTATCGTTGGCAATTCCCAATCTGGAGGGAAAGGTTCAAGGACTCATTGACCGAGTTTGCCAAATAAATTCGCATATCAGGGTAAATCTCAATTGTGGAGAGGTTCAGTAACTTGTTTGCTTCATACGAAACAAGCCAATGGGTGCAGTCTCGTCTCGTGAAAATCTCGTACTTGTATGATTGCATTTGTTTACTCGAGTCTGGGCTGTTTGATTTGTGAGTACCGCCGAGATTGCACTGCCCCAAATAAAGTTTCGTGCCGCCAAAGCAAGAATTACGATCTGCAATCTGTTTGTAGTACCTGTAGTACCTGCAAGAATGTGCAGTACATGTGTCGTACTTTCTCTGTTGCTGTTTCAGTTGCCGTCATGTTGCTAAAGAAAGGTTCAGTAGAGAGGTTCTGCAAAACGAAAATTCGAACGAAGTTTCGCGACAGTCCTTGCGAAAGTGTGTACGAATTTTTGCACGAACTTTGCGTTCTGCACATTTTCGTAGTTTGCGCGGGCCAAGTGCACGTACGCCATGACCCGATCTCACGAAATTTCCTACGACAGTTCATTTCGTGTTCCCTGCAAGTTTCGCTTCCAAAATTGCGAAAGTTAGTGCGAAGTTTCGCACTTCATGATATAGAGGGAAAGTTTGTACGCATTTTCGTTTTGCAGAACCTCTCTAGTGACTCTTTTGTTTCATACTAGACGAGTCAATGAGTAGGTGTGGCTTAGAATCTTTCGCT